AAAAGTGATTTAAGAAAAAAAGGGCATGTCAGAAGAAAGGGTTAAACCCTCAGTTGAACGCAGCCCAGTACTGAGAAGTAGTGAGAGCCCTGGGGGAGTTTGACTCCTTGTTTCTAGATTTTAGAATGAATTTTGCCTTTAAGCAGTGGCTAAAGGGTTCTCTTGGATAGGGTTAGTGTAACAGCAGCGATCGGGTCGCTCTGTAAAATTCAGTGTTTCCTCCAGACTCTGAAATCCTGCTACAAAGAGAACTTGCCTCCTGGAGCCTGACACGGAGGAGGAATAAAAGGCTGAAATAACACCACCACTAACTTGCTTTAATTAATTGTACATTTCTCTGCTGAAGCTGGAAGGGTGGAAAGTGCAGCTTTAAAGGCTACCTACCCAACCGGGGAGTGAGCCGAGGGTGCCCTTCAAAGAGAGATGCCCAAAAGAGCCACAGAAGGGAAAGCTGCTTTTGAATTCTGCCCATTCCTCTGAGTCCGGGCAGGAAAACAGCCCAGAAATGGGTATTTTCTTTTGTGTGAGTTACACAACCAGCTCCCAGCAAATCCAACTGGAGCTGGAGCAGCTACACAAAGATCCTCTGAATAACCTCTGCCGACCAGGGCTGCTCAAGGAATCCTACCTGACTTGAATATATTTTTCATTCCTGGCTATGGGAGATTCCTCCTGCTGCCTCCAAGCAAAAACCTGATGTAATTCAGGAGCCCTTTGTAGCTCTGATTGCACTGTCTGTATTTGGAGATTCAAGCCTTTGTGGTTCCTCCCGATTTACACCTTATTGCTGAAGGGGTCAGACAAATACTGCTTTCTACCACTTTTTATTTTTGGGCTTTCTCCGTATGCAATATTGCTGCCGTTAATACTAAAGAAGTAGAAAAAAAAATGGTTGAAAATGGAAACCTGATTTTTACAAGAGTGTTCAGTCTTTCCTTTAGGACCAGCTGCAGCCCTAAAACTGGTGTTTTCATGTTAATCACGCTCTGCTCTTTTTAATCTTTTGTAGTTTCCATGACCCAGCACCTGAGCCAGAGGCTGGTACTTGCTCCTGGGCAGCATCCTTAGCTTTTGTGCTGATAATATAATAGGTAAAAAAGATTGAAAGAATTTTTTGCACTTACTCTATGTGAAATTAGACCCGGAAAGGAAGGCCTTGTAATAATTCCGGAATTCTACAACATCCCCTGTGCCCAACTTCTACAAACTTTATTATTATTACCTCTGTAAGAATTAAAAGTCAGTTGATGTAGTGCTGAGCAGCAAATATTGTCAGACAATGTCTAATGGAAATTTCCAAGAGCCAATATTTAACGTCTTGAAATGAGAAGCATCCAGGATAATTTTTGAAATCACTCAAATTCAGTATATATTACAACAAAATACAAAGGTAAATATTAAGGTATTTTCATCAGATGGCTTTAAATTAATCTTTGGATTTCCTTTTAGAAAAGAAAATAAGGAACCTTTGAGTAATGGAGAAACAGGGTGCTCTTCGTAGCGCTATCGCTCTAAGGTATGACACTGAGAGAAAAATTACTTGGAAATAATTCCATTTCCATGTTTAAAGCTCTGGTTATTTGAGTCCAGAATGCTTTTAAATTATCTGCTGTAGGCCTTGATACTGCAAATTAACTTTGGGAAGGTAGATGCACGTACAGAGGCAGAACAAAACCCCACTGAAATTAATAGGTCTAGTGTGGCCCGGGGTTCTGTCTCGTAGGGCTGTTTGTGGTGCTGTTTCCAATGATGATTTTTTTCCATATATGACAGCTGAGAAGTACCAAACTTCAAACTATCTGACAAAGGAGCTTTCCTTCGCTTTGTTTGGGAAGATCCCTTTGATTCTGCCTGTATTTCAAGTGTGCTGCTGCGAAATCACGGAGCGTCTCTCCGTGTAAACCCCATTCAGAGAGTATCACCAACTGACACCTGCTTAAGTCTTTAATTAAAAAGCGGCTTAATCTCTAACAATCTCTACATACATAAGCAAAAGTAGCTGTGTTTAATGTGTACTTTGAACTGCCGTTCATTTAGGAATCAAAGATTTGGAAATGAAAGGCAGAGCGTGAGGCAGGGTGATGTTTGACTGGAATCCCTTCTTGTTGGCATAACCTAGTTCTGCTGCTGCCAGCCCCTGGGGACACCTCCTCAGTAAAAATTATGTATAGAGGGGAAATCTAAAAAGAAGGCTGTCTTTAAAAAAGTATGTGTATCAACTATATATGAAACATATTTTAAATAGGCAAATATGTACGGTGGGCTGTGTGGTGGTGAATTGCTCCTCCTTGGGAGGGTCAGCAGAGGGAATACTCTGTATTTCCAGACACACGTACCCTACAGGAAGAGAGAGATTGTCTGTATTTTTCCCGACTGTGTGAATTTTGCTGGGATAATATGTCTTAAAGACTGATCTTAGTTCAGTTAGTTTTCAGTAGTGCTAGTTCATATTCTGGTTCTCAAATCTCTCAGTTTTCCTCCTCCAAAAGACCTCCCCAGTGTTCTTGAAACAAATCTACAGACAATCTTGCCTTTCCTTTTCTTTTTTTTTGGTGGCAGCTGCTGATGGTAAATGGCAGTAAATGATAACAAGATTTTAACTATCGAGGAGAAAAAGGAAGAAAAGCAGCCTCTTCAGTTTTTGGAGATTGCTAATTTCTGTTATCCCAGATCTTGTTGGTGGCATCTATACTGGTTTCCAGCGTAACACTATGTCTGAGCTCCCCTCTTGGCACAAGCCAATGTTGGAATCCAGCAGTTTTTCAATTTATGCCCTTTGTCCATCCCACCATACATCGTTGTAGAGTCTCAATCACTGTTCTCTATAAGCCTCCTGTGGGTGCAACGTGGTGGTCCTTAGGTCCACCCAAACCCTTCTCTTCTCCAGTCTGAGCAAGCCCCGTTCCCTCAGCTTCATCCCGGGGCCTGTGTTCCTGCCCCTGGCTCTCGTGGTGTCCCTCCATTCAACGTACTCTGGTTCATTGACAGCTTTCTTGTATTGGGGGGCCCAAAACTATACAGAGAAATATCAGGTTGGTCTTTACACAAAAAAAAAAGACCTTTCTGTAATTCTGTTACGTGGAATTTTTTGTATGTTTGTATCCAGCCAATGGGATCAGATGTTTTTAGTGAGACCTTAGAGGAGTCTTTTCCAGGCCAACTCTAGGTTTTGGGATAACAGCCTTTGTATTTTTACTACAGTGGCCCCTAAAAGGATGTCCATGAGCTGCATACAGATGATGGGCTTTAAAGATTGTCGTTCAGTAGCTGATACCTTGCTCAAATGTATCCTTTCTGTTTTTATACAGAGACCCTGAGATTAGTGTGGTTGAGTATATTGAAAGTAATAAAAAACAGACGCAGAAAAATTGTTGCATGTTTAAAAAAAAAATAATCATAAAATGAAAGAGGAAGTGCATCATTTATTATAACACCATGTAGACTAATGAAAAACATACTGCAGGCTGGAAATTTGTTAAGAGCTGAACTCAAAAAGTTTCCATTCCCAAAAATGCCTTGGGGCCTCCGGCTCCGAGCTGAGCTTGTGGCTGAAGAGGCCCGATGGTAAACTGACATGAAAAATAACTGTGCCATAAACATTCGGCTCCTGTTTCACAATAGTTGGAAAGAAGTTTTGTAAAAAGCGTTACCTGTTGATACTGACTGTACTTTATCAAAGCAGAAGGGAGGTGGTGCATTTCTGACTGGAATATGAAATTGGGAATGAAGCACTGGGGAGATGGGCACTGGGCACAAAAAACGTTCCCTTCATGGTCCAGAGGAGAAGGTGAAAAAGATGAAGTGACTTGCTGAGAGCAGCAGAGCAGCGCTCGGTACTGGCAGAGCTGCTGTTAGCACTAAGTAATTCCTGGCTTCTAGTGCTTTCCTCGTTAATTAGACCAGGGTGAGGAACTGAGCTGCTCCCCACCAGGCTGAGCAGGTGCCAGCCCTCGCGCTCCAGCACGTTCTCCAGGCTGCTCCCTCCAGTATCGATGGTATTTGCACCATCAGTGCTCAGATCAACAGTGCTGGACACTTAGAGAAAACTGAGTTTTGTGCCTCTCTCCTTTGAGTCTCCTTGGCTTTCTTAAAGGTGTGTCTTCCCTGTAGAGATAGCCCAAGACTGACAGGGGGCTTAGGAGGAAGATGGGGACAAACCTTTTATCAGGACCTGTTGTGATAGGACAAGGGGTAATGGTTTTAAACTAAAAAAGGGGAGATTTAGACTGGATAGAAGGAAGAAATTTGTTATGCACAGGGTGGTGAACCCCTGGCCCAGGTTGCCTAGAGAGGTGGTGGATGCCCCATCCCTGGAAACCTTCCAGGTCAGGTTGGATGGGGCTCCGAGCAACTGAGTCCAGTTGAAGGTGTCCCTGCCCAGGGCAGGGGGGTTGGATTCAATGGCCTGTAAAGGTCCCTTCCAACCCAAACCATTCTGTGATTGAGTAGGTGTTGGCTTTGCCATTCTCCTCCTTGGTCAGCCCACATCAATGTATGAAAATCATTAATGTGGCCTTTCAGGCTTTTTTAACCTTCCTGATGGTGGTGGAGGTGGTGGGAAAGCACTGAAGCCTCTGTTCCTTCTTCCCATGGACTGGCAAGCAGTGTGCAGGAGTAATGCCAGTTAAAACCTTCTGAGGGCTGATGTTCCTCCAACTGTTTCTGCAGTTCTGCTGGATGACAGAGGTTGCCCTGCCTGGCAAGGAGCCCTGGAGTGTCCTCAACATCATGAGACACTTCCATGAAGTACAGACTATAATTTAGTACAATTTACTACAAACCTATGTAGTAAATTGGCTGCATCTTTGTATGGGCCTTCTTCAGTGGCCGCTTTGAGATCTTTGAGCAGAAGAACAATCTGGGAGTACCTACTACCTTACCTAACTCCTCAGTAAATAGCGGGTCTAGAATTCCCAATTTTGGTAAATCTTTTCCTTGTTGTACATTCGCGAAACAAACACACACAGCAACAGTCCCGTGTATTGTGTGGGTGTACTTACCTGAGGTGCCGCCCAGGAGAAGGTCCGTCTGAGCTCGAGCCACTGGGAGGAGAAAAGAAAAGAAAGAGAAGGTGAAATGCTTGATTGTAGGTTGTTGAAAGAAATTAAAACTTAATCAATTCTGATAAATACAGGTCACTCTCATTTATTTTGTCTGACATCTCACTGTGCCACAGTCTGTGTCGCATTTACAACATAAAATATTTTCATCCCGCGATGAGAAAATGTATAAATGTATAAATGTTTGGGATTTTGGCTGCGTGTGCTGAGCTAATGAGAAAATGTATAACTAATTGTTTGGGATTTTGGCTGCGTGTGCTGAGCTGATGGAATGACCCTGTCGCGGGTGGCGGTGGCTTTATTTACATTTGCGAGGTGAACTGAGGATCTGGAGGAAAAGCTGTAGATAGATCTAAAAATAAAAACGTTAACTTCCTTCTCCTCCTTGAAAGTGTCATGTTTGGTGGGTTCAAACTGACACGTAACAGTCCCGGAATGAAATATTTGTCGTGTAATAGGATACGATGATAAATGTCAGTTTGGTTTGCTATTGTGAAAAGCAGTGGTTTTGGCATCCCACGTTACGCCAGTTGGCTGGGGGTGTTGGGGACAGATCTGCTCCTTTGTACGCTGTGGGGAATGAAATATAGAGAATAACTATATTTTATCACATTAGAAAAAGTACGATAGATTTGACGGCTCAAAATTTGTAATCAGTATTTCAATATGCAGATATAACTTATCTAAAGGAGAAGAAAAAAGAAGTAAAGCACTGTTTTCCCTGTGTGTTGCAATAAAAGGAAAGAATAAATAAATATACACACATATATATATCGGCATTAAATAGATTTAACTGTTTTGCTTAGATAAATGATTGAACAGTAATACTTGGAGAGCAAAATAACTTTTAAGAATAGATGAGTTTTCCCCTAAAAAGAAAGATTAGCTAGTTCAAGACTGAATTTTGAAGTGAGGAGAATACTTTATTGGGGAAAGAACTGGTTTAAGACATCAGCCTGCCATTTCCTTCTTAAAGTTTTATTGTGAGGTGCAATAATGGGCTGTAAAAGATCCGATCTCTTTCTGGGGCATGTTTTTCCCCCCCTTTTCTCTGGTTCTGGTCCCTGCTCCCAGGTGTCCGAGCCCCCGGCTCCGTGTGGTCTCTCCCTGTCCAGATTCCATGTCCTGTGGCTGGTGGGGGGGCACCCACCAAAAATAAACAGCTCGACCTGTATTTCCCTTGCAAATTTCAGTTTCGTAATTTGACGAAGACTGGTAAATAGGAGCACAAACTGCTCTTATTATGTGGTCTTGATGTGAAGAGAAAGGGACGTGCGATGTGTCAGGCAGGTGGGGATCAGCCAACACCAGCTGCTCTGCAGACCACGCCGTGGGGGCTGCTGGTGGTCACACTCTCTGCCCGGCCCCTCTTCTCAAACCCAAAAATGAATGTGCCACAAATTGACACACAGAAACAGCAGATTTTCTGTTTATACTTTCATACATATTTAAGTTGTGTTCAACGACCTAGTAAGGCAGCTGCCCCCTGCGTTACAGCAGAGAATGGATGTGGAGAGGTCCTTTCCTCCGTGTGTGTTAGGGGGGAAGGAGAATTTCAGGAGTTAAGCTGGTGGATATGAAAAGGCCCTGGCTGATGGGTTTCCTGTGGAGCATCTGGAGTACATCCAGGAGCTCCAACCCTGGAGGGACAGGCTGTAGGAGATACCTTCTCCTGACAATGCAGGTTGTGGCTGTGGCCTCATACCCACGTGTATGGATGTGACTACAACTAGACATGTGAATTCTCATTGAATTCAGCTCATTAAGTCGCACAAACTTATTTATACCCGTGGCAGGGTGCAATATAGAGATCTCCATGCCAGGGACCACTGTTGAGGGCTCACAGAGCCTTTGGGGTGGGTTGGAGGAAGGTCCTGCCCACAGTGGTCATTTTACAGTTGCCAAGGAGAAGCTTCAGAATCCCAGCATCTCCTGACCTTCCTCCCTCCCGAGTGACTCAGTCGCTCTTCTGGATTGATCTGATTTTCTTGCTTTCCCATCCTTGCTGTTGGAATGCAATTTCTTTTATGCAGTCAACGCTGTTTGAGGAATGATTAAATCCCCAGGTGAATCAGGACTGAAGTGCTGAGCTCCACAGGCTGCTCTGCCCACTCTCAGCCCGGCCACCAATAACCCCTTGGGCAGCGACAGCCCCGAGTGGGATTCCAGTTCTGCTGGGAGCTGCACCTGCGGGTTTGGGTCTCCTAATGTCAGCAACTTGGGCATAATCTGGTTAATCACTGGTTAATCACTCTGAAACCAAGTTGTGGCAAGGATGGAATGAGCACACTGTTTCTAGGTAGTTGAAAGAAGGGAGTGCTTTTTTAGACGCCATATGTAATGTGTAATTTTATTTTTGAGCCCTGTGTTTTATATTCTAACAAATATAAATCATCTATTGTATTAACCATATACAATTCTGGATTGTACATAAAACATAAAGTTTTGCCGTGCTTTGTTTAAGAAAAATGGCAGCGATAAGGAGCTAATGAAGGAGTGAATTTCAGCGGGTTTTTTGGACCACAAAGTCGAGCACGGGGTTTCTAGATAGCTGAAAGAAGGGAGTGCATTTTTAGACGCCATATGTAATGTGTGATTTTATTTTTGAGCCCTGTCTTTTCTATTCTAACAAATATAAATCATGTATTGTATTAACCATATACAATTCTGGATCACAACATAAAGTTTTGCCGTGCTCTGTTTAAGAAAAACAGCAGCGATAAGGAGCTAATGAAGGAGCGAATTTCAGCGGGTTTTTTGGACCACAAAGTATTATAAAGCCAAAGTATTATAAAGCACGAGCCCAGGGCTGGCCGTGGAGCCCTCACTCCTGCCCCACACCATCGCTGGGGACCACACAGCTCGGGCTGCCCTACAAGTCCATGTGGAGATAAATCAGTGCTGCAGACTGTCTTTTAGCAAGGAAAAGCCTTTCTATTCCACATGTGAATATTAATTTTTCTCTACGAAAATGTTTTCATCCTTTCAGGTCAGAATAGGCTTTATAAACTTATTTAACAGTTTGAGAGCTGCAAGTTCAGGTCTCTCCTGTCTGTCCATGCTCTCCCAAGACCGAGATCTGCAGCCGCCCAATACATCATTCTTCACATTGTACTTGGGTTGGTTTTTTTTAACAAGTCTGAAACGTTTTCCTTGTGTGGTTTCGCAACCCCATATTTTTTTTTTTTCCAAACAGCATGAGTCCTATCACTAGATCAAATCTAGAATTCACTGCTTCCAACAATTGTCTAATGGATCCACATGTTTACGCAGCATGACATTGGCATCCAGAGAGTGTCGGCAAAGACTCCCATCAGTACTACTGTTCCGTGCTTCCTCCCTGCTTAAGAAAGAAGGGAGGGGAAAAAAAAAAGAAAAAAAGCTACAGGCTCAGTTATCTGGTGTTTGGGGAAGCAGTGAACGGTCTCTCTAGTTCAGCCACCAGTATTGTCTCACAAAACTTAGAAAACAAACTTTTTCCGTCTGCTATAAATGAAGATATGAGCTCTCAGGTATTTTATCAATGCTTATTGTATCAATGAATAGATCTTAAAATCCTACTGAATGGGGGATTGGGAAATAATGTTTCGAGACCCAGTTCTTTTTCTGTCCCCAGTTTCCTGGACTGAATGATGACTTTTATCTGCCCATGCCCTGCTCCCTGCTCCGTTCCACTGCCCAGTGAGGCTCCAGCCCTGTGTCCCCTCCACCGTGTCCCCCGGGGTGGGGACAGGGCACAGCTGATGGCCTCAGCAAATTGATGTGTCAGAAAACAAATCAGGCTCAGTTCCTTGGCCCTCGTGTAGCATGGGAAGAGCTTTTGTAATTAACTCGCCCGCATATTTTTGCAAAGTGTTTAATTCCTGTTCTCAGCGAGGGGATGGAAATAAATCAGGAGCGATCACTTGGCAGCGCCTTCCCCAGCCCTTTGCTCTGGGGGAACGGGGTCCCTGGTAGCACTTGGAGGAGGAAGGGGCTTTGGCTGGGACACCAAAACCTTCCCTTTATTTTTTATTTTTTCAATGCTCTCGTGGGATCTTTCCCTTCCACACAAGCAACTGCCTGAAACGGGCCAAATGGTCTTGATTTCGCGCTGCTTTATGAGCAGGACTTGTCCCAGCTGGGGGATGTCATAACCTCTGCTTCCTCCGCTTAGGTTGGAAATCTGGAGCCCTCTGATTCACAACTGCCCGGGCTTCAACTTGATGTATTTGTTTGGAAAATACTGTTGTTGGCTCCAAGTTCCAGCTCCTCAGCAAATCAAGCTGATCTGCACTGGTAAACTGGGAGTGCTTACCAGCTTGATTTAAAAAGGAAAAAAAAACACAACCTGCAAAAAAAGCTGGAGTAATTTTTAACTCATGAGTGCCAATGAAAATACTTTGTTAGCGTAAACTTTAAAAGCACACAGTTTTTTAAAAATTAAAAATGATAGGTTGTTCCTAAGATTAGCCTAGCTCTGAGGCAAAATGTAATTTCTTAGAAAAATAATGGCATGTTGTACAGCGAGCTCCCAAAATCCTGCTGCTGCAGCCGGGCTGGGGCGGGGAGGATGATGAGCAGAACTGGGTTGGTTTTTGCATGGAAAATGGGATTTTACGGGGGCTCCCGGCCCCTGTGCGGCTGAGAAAGGAGCTCTTGCATTTGAAGTAAAGCCAAGGGGATTTGTAAAGATGCTTATCTTATTCTCTGGCCGTGTTCGGATCACCAGAAGATATCAGTGCTGACAGGCCGAGCTCCATGCGCTTCCCAATTACTGGGCTGATGCTAAATCCCAGCACGCCCAGCTCTGCCCCAGTGCGAGATTCCAGTCGCTCGGGTGGTGTTTGTGGTGGCAGGTTCTTGCTGCCCTCCCTCTGTCTCGTGGCTGCTGTGTCTGCTCACCACAAAAAAAATCACTGCAAATATTGGTGTCAGAGTTTAGTGCCTTCGCACGGAACTTGTTGTCTTGTCGGGGAAATTAAGATTTTTATAACACAACT